ATAACCCAAAACACCTATGTCCAAAGTTGAACGGTTACGGAGATAATGGCCCAAGAAAAGTGTGGTCTTCTGGCAGGTCCAAGCACTGTACCTCGCTGTACCTCTCAGCTGAGAGCCCTTATCTATGTTTGTCCTTGAGTGCGATGATACTCCCTAGCCGTGCTTATGTAGTTGGCTCATACCAGAACGCGCAGTCAGCACGTTACGTCATCGCTCGCCAGTCATGTGTTATGTATACTGCTTGGAAACCTAAGGACAATTATGACATGGCGAGCGAGTATTTTGTACTTCACTTTTATGGCTTTCCGTCACTCACAAGTTAGTTTGATGTTACGTACATTATTAACATTACAGAATCCACATATTCCTGCCAGTTTTAATATGTATTTTGTAATCAACAAGTGTGTAACCCCGGTCAAAGTTTGACACTTCTCTGGCCATTATCTCCGTAACCGTTCAACTTTGGACATAGGTGTTTTGGGTTATATCGGCATACTTTAACATAAGGAACACCCTCCCGAAATTTGGCACATTCCTCCTGGGACACCCTATATATAAACCGTTTAAGAATATTTTTACGGATTGCTCTAGATCTGTCGGTCTCTAATTTAAACGTAGGCGGAGCCAAATTTAAAAATAATTTTAGTTTTTGGTATTAATATAGTATTTTGCTATATTTCTTTCCTCTGTCAAAATTGACATTTTCAGAATTGCAGGGGCGGGGGGTCGTTTCCCTGCCGGAACGCGTGTCGCTCCTATCTATAGAGCCTATTGTACGTTACTGATTTTCCTCAGTTCGAATTGAGAATGGCCATGAGCACGTGGTGTCGCTGTGCTGAGTGCCCAGCTCATTAGCACCGGCAGCGCTAAACGGATGGAACAACGGCTGTTTCTAGCCCGATCAAATTTGGCTGCAACACGAACAGACACGATGAGAACTTGGTGCCGCGTTAGCGTGCCCGATCCGTCTCGCAATGAATCCTACAGTTTTCTGGCTCAATAGTAAACCGAACAGTAAAGGTAAAGTTGTCCCTGTGCTCAATTAATTAAGCAATATGCCACGGAGACATGAGGGAGCAGAGGTATAACTCCACCATTCTTGACCTCGATAATAGATGGAAGTGAGTGATCAGCTTCACGCCCCGGCCGCTTTACCCCCGGTACCAATTGGATAAGAAGTTATGGGGGGCCCAGAGCCGGTCTGGGCGCTGTGGAGTAGAGAAAAGTTTTGCACCTGTCGGGAATCGAACCTTGGCCATCTAGCCCAAAGCTCGTCGCTATCCCAACTTACAATAAAGAACAATAATAATAATATCGGATTTAGAGGTGGTATAACGACATGCTACGGGCTGGAAGCCGGGCTTCGATTCCCGGCAGGGGCAAAAGACTTTTCTATTCTCCACAATCCCCAGACCGGCTTTGCCCCTCCCCCAAGAGTTCTATCTGATGGGTAGGCGAGTTCTCTTTCCCCAGGGGTAAGGCGGCCGGAGCATGAAGCTCACTACCTGAATCTATTGCCGAGGTAGAGCTATCCCTCTATTCCCCCATACACTTGTTCATGGTGTGGTGCTTAAACAGGGTCAGCTTTGCCTTTGGTTCGTACTATGGCTTGCCTCACAGGGACCAGCTACCCTGCGTAGTCTGTGCTGTAAGTTTCGCGTAATGGCCAGCAGGGTCTGAGTCAGGGGCCACAGGTCAATGTGTCTTGTTGCTTCAGTACACAAGAACAGTCTCCTACCCGTTTAGGAGCCGTTACTAGTTGCGTTCTCGTGACGTTGAGAGGCGGCAGCTGCATGCGAATCTGTGCCCACAGAGCCCAGACATTCGGATGGCGTGTGTCACGTGTTTCTATTGTTACAACACGATTCGCTCTGGTGATCGAGCGGGAACCTTTACTTCCTGTTTCGGAAGGCAATATTGCGACAACTGAGCAGATGCTTGCTTCAACCAAATGGACTGCCTTATAATAGGCCACGATCACTCCTTGCTGCTGCTCCCCGAAGCCAGAGAATCAGCAGCTACACCCCAAAAGTTTCGTTTGAAAACCGCAATGCAAGAGACCACGTGGCTGACCTAGGTATACATAGAAAGATAATATTAAAATGTATCTTAAATAGAAGGAATCAAGGTTTGGACTGGATTCATTTAACTCAAGACATATATCACTTGCAGGCTGCTGTGACCACGACAATAAACCGATTTCCATAAAAGACAGGGAGATTGTCTACTAGCTGAATGACTATCAGCGACGGCCTACGTGCTGGACGGCCCCGGTTTGATTGTAGGGTGTTTAAGATTTTTATCTTCTTCACAGCACCAAGACTGGCTGTGGGGCCCACCCGGCCTCCTATCCAATGGGTACTGAGGGCACTTTCCCTGGGATAAAGCGACCAGGGCCTGAAGCTGACCACTCACCTCCGTCTAGTGCCGAGGTCAGAAAGGTGGAGCTATACATCCACTCCCCCGCACATCTTCATGACATAGTGCTTAATTAAGCACAGGGGCAACTTATGACTATCAGATTCTCGAAGTGTACTGTGCCTGATGGTTGCGTGATCATCGAGCAGTTATATCGTGACACCATCATCAGAATCTGTTTTCAACATACGTTGTGACCCGGAGATGTTTCACTCTGAGCACGTTTCCACTCGAGAGACCCGTACGATTTACCCTCAGAGCCTTTGCATATCAGTTTCTACTGGAAGTGTTTGTTCTCAACGATTATTGATGAAATGCAAAGGAAACGGTTGAAGGACTATGCAAATCTCCAAGTAGAACACTTTGTCTGAGAGCCGAGATTCGAATTCCGGTTCTACGGAATCCTGGGTAGGATTCTTGCTCAAGTATACTGCCAAATGCGATGGCAATTATGGACTTCCACGTTCCACAATAAGGAATTTTTTGTACCTACTTGCAAATTAGACGAGTTCTAATTGGCTGATAATGAAATTAGACCATCTTGACGCAACATTGTATCCACAGCTGTTGATAAAGATTACGAGAGCACCAGGGGGACGCCATAATGGCGTTCTCCCCTCGTGTTTCTATGCGCAGTAGCTGTCGCCGTGCTCTCCAGAGATATAAACATCAGAGCAAACACTTCGCAGTATTCATAGCAACCCTCAAGCATGTCTCGAACAGTTTCAGTATTACCAGCCTGTTGAAGTTATTTCCACAACTTTATACAATCCAGATATCGTCAGTATGCATCAATGAGTCAGTTCAAAGCAATCCTCGTTCCGCTTGCTAGCTCCTACACCTGCTTCTCTTATTGATGTAGATCTTGAACCAAGCGACGAATTTTCGCATAATTTCTACTAATATCTTGACACTGGAAGCCTTTACAACTTCTGATATCGGTAACTCAGCCCCCCACTGTGTTCGGGTCCACAAGAATTAACAGCATGAAGGCCGCTGGAACTTGGTCATCGTTGGCAGGCATAGGAAATTACGAGATGTAATTATAAATCACGTATGAAATTTGTTTGTGTTCTAAATGTCTATGCTAAGGATCTCAAATAATTTGCTCATGAAAGAGGAGATAAAATTCGGAGAAAGCTTGCTACCATTCAGTTCGGAATCTGTTTTCGTTCTCCCTTTTGTCTAGAGACGTAACTCCAGGCGCACCGAAATTTGTCTCTTGTTTTGTATGGATGTGGGTACTTGGTCGAACATAGACGGAGATGTTTCAGAGCAGGGTGCTCAGGACAATATTTGTACCTCAGTGGAGGAAGTCGCAGAAAGTTTTAGAAAATTACATAATGAGCAGCTTCATAATTTTTACTCTTCGACAAGTATTATTATGGTGATCAAATAATCCTTGATTTGATGTGGTGGATATTTCATGCAGAATTCAAGAATGCAATGAGAAATACATACGGAATTTTAGGAACTTGAGCACTAAGGAGGCCCATGTGTCGTGTGAGGATAATTTAAATAATTAATAATCTGGCTTTTGGAGTTCTTGTGCCGTCTCTGTGCAACGTCGTTCATTATTCCATCGTCGTATCCCTATATTGGAAGCTGCATGTTTCGGCCTAACTGGCCACAACGAAAGATTATGACGGCCTACCAACACAACAGAACTCCCGCCCCAGCAAGAACATTCATGGCAGCCACAACCAACAAACTAAACCAAACCAAAAGCAACCCAAGGACACCCAAATAAAACTTATAGTGACCCACATAACCAAAATAACCAGGAGCAACTGCAATAGGAGGAAAGAAACCCGCATTGCAGTGAACAGCTGAGTCCTTAACCATAACAACTTGTACACCCAAAGATAGCCAGTTAGGACGTAACATGTAGTGTTAATAAATTAATACGAATGAAGAACAGTAAACAACGCTGCACACTGACGGCACAATAGCTCCTAAGTCAGGTATATACAGTGCAACAGAGTGCTGAAATATAATGATAATAATAATAATAATTGTAAAGTAGATCTTATGTTATGCCAAGGCATGTACTGGATTTATTTCGTATAGGATGGGGTTCCGTAGCGGACTGTTGTTAACGCGGTAATCAACCTTCGGTCTACATAACGGCAGGTGAACGACTGTAAGCTTATGAAGAAGGATTCTTATCCATGGAGTTATTACGTAGACCTAGATGTATTGAATATATATATATATATATAATTCCACAGAAGTGTTTGTGCAAATTCTAATGAAACGTGGTTTTGCTTCCGTTATGAATGTACGAGTACTTATCACGGTAGGCCACGATTATTAGTGTAACAGAGAAAGTGGGCGGTGTATGGCGATAGTGTTTACGGCAGGATGTCCGAGCCAGAAGTCACGCTCCGTTAGTTTAGAACCAAACTAAATGAAGGGTACGTAAGGTAAAACGTAAGCGAAATCTATACGTGGAAGAAACTGAGTCTGTTTATGGGAAATTCCAATCAGCAATTCAATTTTAAAAAGACGAGCTTCATTTGTTCCCCGACTTCACGTCTTCGCCGCTAGATGGCCGCGGCGTGGTCTCGCCCGGTCTCGTCCCTCAGCTCGTGTGTGACGTGCTGCCAGTTGCAGTGTTGTTTTAGGCGTCGAAGGTGTGAATGTTTGCTGAGCGAACCGTAAGTCATTTTTATCGTTTGTTTCCTGGAGTTGTTGTCCTGTGTGAGAATTCTTCTCAAGATAACAATGCGAGCTGCTGCTATGCGTCAAAGTGCAGTGACCTTATGGCTTATTGGGTCGGACGATATTGAGGAGGCTGTGGCAAATACCGCGACAAGCCAAGTCTTTTGATTCAGCGTCGTCAAAGTATTCTTGCGACTACGTGTCCATTGTGTGTCCGTCCAGGCACCGTGCTTGGCTAGGAGCTGAGGGAGAAGATTCTGTAAAAGTTAAATTCGTATAGTCGACCTAGGTTGGGGTTCGAAGCCAGTTTCATTACAGTGAGTTGACAAATATTGCACAGCAGATATCTTTTCTTTTTTATTTATCCAGGAGCTTTTGTGGTGACGGTGATGAACCGTCGATTTTTTTAATACAGAAAACTTTCTTGAGATAGAAAGTGACACGAGAAATGCACACACAATTTTTTCCGACAAACGGAAACAGGGGTCGCATCCTGACACTGACAGGTAGCGGTACGTTGTAACTACTTCGTGATGGGAAGCTGATAGTCGCCCAAGCAGTAAAGAAATTCCGTTGTTTTTATGGAAACACACCGTCACCACTAAATCTTTACGATCCTTTAAGAACATTACCACTTGCGTCTACGCCCTTTTTTCTCAGATGGTTCTCCGACTAGAATTTTGTGTGCATTTCTTCTTTCTCCTATGCATTCTACATGTCGCACCCATTCATCAGCTGTCGTTTGGCGCATAGTACAAATTGTGAAGCTCATTGTTGTGTGATTTTCCCCCTCATTCTCCTGCTATTTCTTCTGTCTTAGCTCAACATCCTAACAGAGGTCGCTTCGTGGTTTTCTGGAACCCCTCGAAGCCAATGTCCGGATGTGCCTCGATTAGGCTAGGGTCGCTTCCTTTCAAATCCGTCCCCATTAGTCATTCAACCCTATGTGGTCTAGCTTCTGACAAGGCCGTAAAATAATCCCCAATTCCTAAAATACTTCCCTGCACCCTGTTTTCAAACACCCTCGTCCCATTTCTTCCCGTAGGGTCAGAGGGGCATGAATCATTTTCCGCTGTATTTCTTCTGATTGTGCCGTATCCGGAAATAACGTAGATCTTAATGCGTTATGTTCCGAGAGATGGAAAGACGTCATAAGAATATCATCTGGGTTGTGATGCCGTATTGTCCGGTAGAAGTTCACCGACAGTTCTCACCCCTTGAATACTTCAAACCTGACCCGTCTTCAGAAATTCTTTGAATCCATTTCAGATTACAGTTTTCTCGGGTATGACGCCTTGTAGTTTGGTAGATAGGTACAAACTTTTCGGAGGAACTTTCAGCCGCTATCTTCAGAACACAAAATTCTCCGAGAATCTTACCTGTCAGCACCGTGAGAATCCCTGATCTCACCCACAGTAACTCTGATTTCAGTCACATGTAAAGAAGGAACAGACGTGAATTGAAATTAATTTTCTGTTCTCCAATCTGTGTTGTAGCTCCACCCCCCCACCCCCACCCCCCCATAGCCCGTTGGCAGCACAGGGAAACAAACACAGCGACAGCTGTCAGCAGAAATATTTGGACCTGAGAGAGAACGGACTGGTGATAATTACTTAACTTACACGTTTGTAAGCAAAGTTGAGACGGCTGGTAAGGACGCTAACAAGTGAGAATTGCATTCACGAGCGGAGCGAATTCTCTCTCTCGAAGTGAAAACATTAAAATGTGGAAAGCTGCGATGTTGCATGCCGTTCTGTATGGGTGTGAAACTTGGTCTCTCAGACTGAGGGTGCTGAGGAGGTGGAGGAGGTGACATGGGGAGGTTCGTGGTTTGTACATCTCGGCCAATATTATGAGGACAATGAGGTCGTCTGGGCACGTGAAACGCATGGAACAGAAGGCAGAAGTGCGTACAAAATTTTGGTAGAAAACCCTTATGGAAAGAGACCACTAGGAAGACCTAGTCATGTGTAGGAAGATAATACTAAAGCGGATCTTGAAGAAATAGGATGGGAGGCTATGCACTGATTCATCTGGCTGAGGATAGGGACCAGTGGCGTGCTGTAAATTGCTGGGAATGTCTTGATTACAATGATTGACATTTTGGATATTGTCAGTCTTTTTTAACAACGTTACGGGAGTGGACTGTGCTTCCGTCCTCAGGTAAAAAGCCTAACCAGTCGGGCCCTATCAACAGAGTCCATATGTCACGAACTCTTATGTGTGACGCCGTGTAGTCCTGAGCCGCGTTTCGCTCTGCTACCACTTGAGCCGCTTCCTCTGCTACCACTTGTGCCGTCTGTCCGCTCTGGGACTATATGTACCACTTGTACCGTCTCTCTCTGGCACCTTTCGGCTCCGTCTACCTTTCCTCAATCGGAGGGGGAAACGTTGCTCCGTCATACGGCTCTCGTGCTGTGCTCGCACGCTCCCTAAGTTAGAGTAAGGGATCCAAGCTAGCAGCGAAGTAAATGTAGTTACAAATGATGGCAATCAATATATTAACAAATAACAGAATTTAATATACACAACAGAAATTAAACAGAACAACTGAACTAACTGCACATTTACATGCTCGCACACAGCGGCATCTAACTCGGGCAGAATGGCCCATATTACTGGCGCAACAATTTGCCTTGGTTGC